GTACGTATTTTTCTCCTTTAACCGCTTTTATTTGAGTACAGTTTCGAAAATCGAAAAATGACCTGCTAAAMAAAGTACTAGCTCAAGAACATTACCTTTCAGAAAATATGTTACACTTGATACTTTTGAGCAAGTTTAGAGGGAGAAAAAGTATATTTTACAGAATAAAAAGAAAAAGAAATAAACAATAATTTAATATGACCGATTTTCGTGAACATATTTTTGTTAGGTTACTAGTGTTTATAACACAAATAACTAACTTGGTAAGACTTCGTAAATTCAAATAATAAACGATTTAAAATAAACATTTTTAAATAATATTATTTATTACCTATAGTATAAAATATATTATTATATTATATTATATATTATTATATAGGTAGATCAAAATAAATATCATAATTTATTATTGTTTTGCTTGGTCTTTGTATTATTATACACATCCGACCCCAAACTTCCCAAGAAGACCTTGGAATGTCCCCAACAACGAATCGTGCAAGCGTAACATTATATACATCAGCGGACCGTGATAATGTATTTTTTATTATAATGGTATCTATACCATTATGTAGTAGGTAATATGTTTATAGCATAGTAGGAGTACTGACGTACTGTAATGTATATAGTTTGAACAAGCTAAGAAAATAAAGATTAACATCAATCACAATAGGAGCAAGTCATCTTGTACATCAAGAAACTGTGAAAGATGATGTAGGTACTGAAGTACTGAACAGAAGTTGAGGGCAAAATAATTTTTAAATCAACATTTCTAACAAAGWAACAAATTCGAAAGACTATATGAAATATTTGAAAATGCCTAGTATATTACATTATATAGGTTCTCCACAGTTTAAATACAAAATATAACAATAATCGGAACAATAATCTTTTGTAAAGCCCWCCAATTTAWCACGGATATGTGCATGACATCTAAAATAAACAAACTTCGCTTAATTTACTGCGTCTAAACATTTTTTTGTGGTTTGCTTAAAAKTAAAACATAACATTATATGATGATAGTTTTTAATTTCGCTAATGACTTACTGCAATATCCAACAAYTTATTACGTTTTACTAWTATAATATTATTACAAATCGCATCACACATTACCCGCACCATGCCTATATAGTTAGGTGACGCCCAATCAAAATTAAAAGGATAAAACATCATTGATACATATCAATGGGACKAGTTTTCGAGCGGAAAAAACACGGTACCGACAACACATAACACACGGTATGTACGCATATCACCTCGGGAGCTGAATAAATTAAAGCTAAATGTTATAATACAATGTGAAATAGTAAGTTGTAGTATTATGYAAATTACTGATGTATACCTGTGTGGCTGTGTGCACCAACAGACACAAAACAGCATGGAAGTATGCCAAAATAAAAATACTAATTATCAAAGCATATAACAACCATTTATATAATAACATATGGCTTWTAAAGCACGATCTAAATGTTTACAAAACCTACGCAGTTCAGGAATGCAAAAATTAAATTTCATGGGTGTGAATTTTGAGAAATTCATTCAAATAACTTCTAAAAATCATAGTTCTTGCAAACTATTATAAATTCTATAAATAAAACAATTCAAATATTTAAACATATAAATAGGCATCATTCACATTAAAGAATATTACAGATAGTTTTTGGGAATAACTTAGCAGCATAGAAGTTATGATAGTTATAACTACTATATTGGGGAAGTAAAATTTGATTCAGAATCAAACATCAAATAATTCAATAATAATTATAGCCTTCTAATTTGGGTATTAAATTAATATTTATTTTTATTTTTATCAAGTTCTAATTCAAGAAATTTACAATTTATATATTTTACTAATAGATTATTACTAAAAGATTGAGTAAACAATGGAGAAGAAAATTAGTGTTGCGGAGATGAGAATGTTAAGGTGAATGAGTGGAGTGACGAGAGAGGACAGAATAKAAATGAGTATATAAGAGGTAGTATAGGATGAGTGGCTCCAATATAGTTGAAAAATTGTTTGAGAATAGACTGAGATGGCTAGGACATTTAAGAAAAGAWAAAACTGAGATAGTTTCAGTGACAAAAAACATGAGTGTGGATKAAAAAAGAGGAAGAGGAAGACCGAAAAAGAGATGATTTGACCCCCAATAGTTGGGAGAGAAGGCGAAGAAAAAGAAGAAG